CCTCCCTTCCTTCCTTCTCCTCATTCCTATCTCCTTCCTTCCTTCTCATTCCTATCCCCTCCCTCCCTCCCTCCCTCCCTTCCTTCCTTCTCCTCATTCCTATCTCCTTCCTTCCTTCTCATTCCTATCCCCTCCCTCCCTCCCTCCCTCCCTTCCTTCCTTCTCCTCATTCCTATCTCCTTCCTTCCTTCTCATTCCTATCCCCTCCCTTCCTCCCTCCCTCCCTTCCTTCCTTCCTTCCTTCCCCTCATTCCTATCTCCTTCCTTCCTTTTCCTTCCTATCTCCTTCCTTCATTCTTTCTCCTCATTCCTATCCCCTTCCTTCCTTCCTTCCTTCCTTCCTTTCCTTCTCATTCCTATCTCCTTCCTTCTTTCCTTCCTTCCTTCTCCTTCCTATCTCCTTCCTTCCTTCCTTCATTCATTCCTTCTCCTCATTCCTATCTCCTTCCTTCTCCTCATTCCTATCCACTTCTTTCCTTCCTTCCTTCTCATTCGTATCACCTTCCTTCTTTCCTTCCTTCTCATTCCTATCTCCTTCCTTCCTTCCTTCCTTCTCCTCATTCCTATCTCCTTCCTTCCTTCTCATTTCTATCCCCTCCCTCCTTCCCTTCCTTCCTTCCTCCTCATTCCTCTCCTTCCTTCCTTCCTTCCTTCCTTCTCCAGAGACCTTCCTGTTCCACCGCGGACAAGTCCTTTGCCGTAGGCATCATTGCAGAGACAGTCCAGGGCCTGGAAAGGGCCTCCAGCTCTTTCGTACTCTACCTGCTTCCCATGCTGTTGGGGGCGTCCCACGACGAAGACCAGGAAGTGTGCAGCAATGCCGTCTTCGGGCTGGGGGTCCTGGTGGAGCACGGCAGGGAAGCCACGTTCGAGTATCCTTGATCCCATCCGCCTGGGGAGGGGCCTGATATCATATGGCGGGAATAGCCTTGCGGGACCAGGAAGAAGACCCAGCCTACGAAATGATTAGATAAGAGGGGGGCTGGCCCAGAGCTGCACAACGGACAGAGGAAGAAACTCAAAGGCGAACCTCCTCTGTCATATCAGGCTGGAAAAGAGACGGTGGGAGATTCATACCTTGAGCCCTCCAAGATTCTCTTAATTAATTTTACATATATAGCTAGTCCTTGACTTAACGGTCTATTTAGAGACCATTCAAAGTCACAGTGGAACTGAAGAAAAGCGTCTTAGGAACGTTTTTCACACTTAGCGGCCGTCGTGGCATCCCCGCAGTCACATGATCAAAATTCAGGCGCTTGGCCACCGACTCGTATTTATGACGGTCCCAGCCTCCCGGGGTCACTTGATTCCCTTTCTGATGAGCAAAGTCAACGGGGGAAGCCAGATTCACTTAACAACCACAGTGATTCGCTTTACAATGGTGGGCAAGAAAGGTAGTTGAATGGGGCAAAACTCATTGAACGACGGTCTCTCTTAGCGACAGAAATTCTGGGCTGAGTTGTGGTCGCACATCGAGAACTAGCTGTATAGCGCAACACGTTTAATTGCCCTGAAAAAGAACAGTGTGTATGTGCCTTTCTCTACACACACAACACAACACACGTACACAATTATTATTTTTTCCTTAATTTCGTTTGACCTGGCCAGACACTACCCCAAAATTCTGGCGCTTTTATCCAACCTCATTTCTCAAAAGAAAGACAACCGAGTAATCGACAACGTGTGTGGAGCCATTGCAAGGATGATAATGACCAATCCTGGAGGAATGCCCGTTGAACAGGTGAAACATTATTTTTTGTGCGTCTTGTGTGAGTGTGGAGGGAAGATCCGCAGGGCTACAGCCATGGAGAGAAACTCCAGAAGGAGGTATTCTTCCATCACTGGCTCGTAAGGTGGAATTATCTACCTTGTTTTATTTATTGTATTCAATTTGTTTTAAAATCCCGCTTTTATTACTTGATCAGTAAGTCAAGGCGGAGAACGTACTTAATCTCCTTCCTTTTTTCCTCATCACAACCCTGTGAGGTGGGTTAGAGTTAGTTTTCAGGCCTAAGGCAGGACTAGAAGTCACCATCTCCTGATAATTGGTTCAGAGATACCCAGCCACGTTTCATGGCTAAGGCAGGACTAAAATTCACAGTCACCTGGTGATTGGCCCAAAGTCACTCAGCTGGCTCCCGTGCCTGAGGTGTGGAACTAGAACTCCCAGGCTTCTGATCGTTGGCCCAAGGACACCCAGACGGGTTCTGTGCCTAAGGTGAACTAGAATTCCCAGGCTTCTGATGGTTGGCCCAAGGACACCCAGGCAGCTTTCATGCCTAAGATGGAATTGGAGCTCATAGGCGCCTCATGACCGGCCCAAGGACACCCAGCCGGCTTCCATGCCTAAGGTGGAACTAGAGCTCCCAGACTCTTAATGACTGGCCAAAGGACACTCAGATGGCTTCCATGCCTAAGGTGGAACTAGAGCTCCCAGACTCTTAATGACTGGCCAAAGGACACTCAGATGGCTTCCATGCCTAGAACTAGAACTCACCATCTAGACCGGCACCTTAAGCACTAAGCAATACGAACTCTCTTTATTTAAACCAAGAAATACCAAACATGCCGGATGGGGAATTCTGGGAGTTGAAGTCCACAAGTCTTAAAGTTGCCAAGTTTGGAGAAACCCTGGTTTACTCCATGAGGAAATGTAGGTTTTACTTGTTTCTTGCTTGGTAAGGAGCCAAGCCATGTTAGGATCCCTACAGGATCATGAACCTCTGACCCTTGAATTGCTGCCTTCCGTCTTCTAACCCTCTTATTAACAGGTTTTCCCTGTCCTGCTTCGCGCCCTGCCACTGAGAGAGGACTTTGAGGAGTATAAAACAGTCTACCGTTGCATCACCTTTATCTATGAAAATGACCCATCGCAGGTAGGTCTCTGTCCCACCAGGAAGGGGCAGGTCTTAGGGGCAGCAACCGTCAACTTTTGGGGCACCAGGAACCGGTTCCATGGAGGGAGGTTTTTCCACGGAGCGGAGGAGGGAACGTGGTTTCATGCGGATGGGGATTCGCTTGTTTACACGGGCCAGGTTTTTTGCATGCCGCGGCGGTTGCCGGTCCACAGGCCTTCGGGCTGGATCCAGCCTGCGGGGTGCTTAAGTCTGGCCTGTGTGAATGGAAATATCAAAGGACTGGCTTGCAATACCTGTGCCAGCCAAAACAGGCCACGGAGGGGCCCCAGAAGGTCTCCGCACGGCCTGTTTTCGGCCAGCAGTGTGCTGCAGGAGTCCTGGATTGGACTGGATTACAATTATGTGGCCTCAAGTAAGTACCTGATCTAGATAGGAAACAAGCAACCCCTTGTGTTAACACTACAGTTTAATGCCAGATTTTATGTATTTTAGGTCCATTTAATCTACAATCAGCTATTCTGTATTCTATATATTCTATTCTGTATCTATAATTGACAGCCATTTCTATACACCAGTGGTGGCTAACCTTTTTGGGCTCCTGTGGTAAAAATTGTCACGTGCCAGAACCCAGAATACAATGTGCATGCCCCCTGCGCATGCGCGTGCAATCCCCACCTCCCTGCCACCCCCTTACCTGCAATGCGCCTTGCAGCTGATTTTTCGGCTGGTTTGAGGCCTTTTTCGGCCTTCCAAAGGCTTGAAAAAAGCCCCTGCAAGGCTATTCAGAACAAATTATAGGCCTGTTTCATCACTTCCGGTGTTACAGGAAGTGACAAAACAGGCCTATAATTCATCCTGAAAAGCCTTGCAGAGGCTGTTTCCAAGCCTCTGGGAGGCCAAAAAAGGCCTCAAACCAACCAGAAAAAAAAAATCAGCTATGAGGCGCGTGCATGCACAGTGAGGTAAGTTTGTCTGCGGCTTGCATGCCAGCACAGACGGCTCTGCGTGCCGCTTGTGGTACGCGCACCATAGGTTTGCCATCACGGCTATATACAATGGAACCTGGGGTCACAAACACTTCTGTGACGACCAGAATTTTTGCTTCTGTTTTGCTTCTGGTCACGAACAGATCTTTGGGTGGCAACCAAGCAAACCCGAAAATTGCTGTGGTGATTTCCCCTTCGGCGCCATTTTTTGGGGGGGTCCGTACATGCACAGATGGTCATGCTTTTGGTCACGACCAAATTGGGTTGCAACCTTAGTCCTGGAACGGATTACGGTCGTGACCCCGTGTTCCACTATACTATCCTGGAAATTTACCTCAGCTGTTAGATCTCATGTTATTTTATGCCGTTGTGTTTTTATTTATTAGTTGAATAATAAAAAATACAATAGATATAAATAGCTTTTCTGCCCGGAAGAGCAACGTACTATTAAACAATGGGGTGATAAATTTAGAAATAAAAAGTTTAGCGGAGTAAGAAGAATAAGTAATAAATGTTTGCCTATAATATCTGGTAGAAGAATTGGGGAAATGTTTATGGTGAACACCTGCGGAAAGAAAGAAGGGAAAGAAACGCATCTTGAGCCTATGTCAAAGGCCCAACATGGCCATGCCTACCCCCAGACACACACCCACATACACCCCGCGCTCTCCAAAGTCAAACACAAACAAACACAAACACAAACGAAACCAAGTTTGACATCCCTGATTTAGGGGTAGGATTCAAAAATCCCAACTACCGGTTCTCTGTCTGGTTGCTGGGTAGGCCTGGCCATGGTGGGTGTGGCCTACCGGAACTTCCAGTTCGGCCGTTTTTTGCCTTTCCCAGAGTCCGGAGGCTTCCCTCAGGTTTCTGGGAGGGCCTCCGGAAGCCGGAAACAGGCCCGTTTTTGGACTTCTGGAACTTCCTGGAGAGCCTTTTTTCCTCCTCCCAGAGGCTCCACGCGGACCCTGCACTTACCCGCATCCAAAACGGGCCGCGTGGAGACTCCGGGAGAGGAGGGGTGGGCGGGGCCAGCCAGTCGGTTCAACTCCTGGTTCGGTGAACCAGATGTAAATTTAATATCCGGTTCACCCAAACCGGGCCAAACCGGCTGAATCCCACCCCTGCCCTGATTTAGACGATTGGCTCCCGCTCAAGTTGGTTTCCCCTTAGCTCGTCGTCTCAGCCCTGCTTTGAGAAGGAAGCCTCAACTTACGACAGTTGAGCCCCACATTTCTGTGGCTAAGCGAGGCCATCCTTAAACGAGTTGCACCCCTTATGACCGCCTCTTGCCGTAGTGAAGCACGTCGCTGCCATCGTTAAGTGAACCGTGCAGTTGTTTAACAAATCTGGCTTCCCCCGTTGGTTCTGGCCATCGGAAGGTCGCAAAAGAGGAATCACGGCCCCGGGGACACACTGTGACTGTCATAAATACATACCAGTTGCCGAGTGGTCCAAATTTTGACTCCATGAGCCTCAGGAGGACAAGCGGTCGTAAGTGACTTTGTTCAGGGCCGTTGTAACTTTTTAATGGTCACTAAAGGAACGTCTGTAAGTTGAGGACTATCTGTAGACCACAGTTCATTTAATGGCGGTTCAAAGATGGCACTGAAAAAAAGTGACTTAGGACCATTTTTTTATACCTAACGACCGCGGCAGTGGCCCCACGGTCACCTGATCAAAATTCAGGCGCTTGGCAGCCGATTCATACTTATGATGGTCGTGGTGTCCCGGGGTCAAATAATCCCCTTTGGCGACCTTCTAACAAGCAAAGTCAAGGGGGAAGCCGGATTCACTTAACGACCGTGTTCCTAACTCCAGCTATTTGCTAAACAACTGTGGCAAGAAAGGTCGTAAAATGAGACAAAATTCACTTAACGTGTATGTATGTATGTATGTATGTGTGTGTGTGTGTGTGTGTGTGTGTGTGTGTGTGTATATATATATATATATATATATATCA